ATGGCGCCAGAACCTCAAAGATTACTTAATCCCAAGGGAAACCTCAATGTCACTTGGGCCTTTTCCTAAACCCTTCAAGGAAGCTGGTAACTTCAGGGAGGCCCTCCCAGAGGGACCTCCACTTTCAGGAGCCCTTAACTAACCAAGGAGGACTTCCCCTCCCCTGTGGGAATCCTTTTTCCTGGCAACTCACGGCTCTCAGGTCTGGAGGGTGGCCCTCGTCCTCTGCGCCAAGCTGCTCTCTCACCTGTGGTAGGCTTCAGGGGTCACTATTCCCTGGAACAGGGCTCCGCTATGCAGGGCTCTGAGGCCTCTGGCTTGGTCTGTCTGCTGGCTCAATAGCCTGAGTACCGTCTGACTCCCTGGACTCAACCTTTTGCTATGGGTTGGAGGCCCAGGCCACCTCATGCTGCACTGGGGCTCAGTCCTCTCTTGGACCCAGCCCCAGTGCTGGATCGTATGCATTGAGCTGCTGCCCCGTGCCAGCAGCCATAGACCTGAGCCACCTCAAGCCACCCTCCATGCAGCGCCTCCCACACTGAGCTCCTGGCCTCATGCCAGGGGTTGGGGACCTGAGCAGCCCAAGGGGCTCCAAAGATCCTGCTCCATGCACTGGTCTGTGCACCGTGTCTCTGGCTGCATGACAGATGTTGCAGACCTGAGCTGCCTTACACAGTCTGGAGCCATCCGCCATTCCCTGCTGATGGAAGTCTTCTGAGGCTCTTCCAGGCTACTGCTTCGTCCTGCTGAGCAGCTCTCCTCAGCTCTTCTAAGCCCTACTCTTCTCTCTTCTCCATCTCTGATATGTCTCTTGTGTGCTGGGCACACAGCTCCTTTTATTCTCTTCGGGAGGCTCTGCCCCTGAAGTCCTGCTGGACTGGAAGAGTGCAGTCTTGAACCAGGTCTGAGGTATCTTTCTTTTTTTTTTTCTCTTTGCCCCAAGCAGGGGTGGACCAAAGCCCTCCCCACAGTTATCCAATTGGTGGATGGGCTCCACCAGTTGTGAAGAGGATTCTCCAAGCCTGGACATGCTGGGCTGAATCAGTAAGTTTGCTGCACTTAGACAAATATTTTTTGGAATAAAATTAAAAGATGTTATAGTAGTTGTTAGATTTTTAGTATATAATTTGCTCTTTTTTATTGTTCCAAGATGGAACACCCCACCTCCCAAAAGAAGTACCTCTGTGGTCAAGGGGAAGGAATTCTGGTGGCAAAGATTAGGAGTCTGGGGCAGGACTTCCTGTCACAAGATGGGGATCAGGAGGTGGGACACCTGTTAAGGGGCGGGGCTACCATTGCAACTCTCAACAGGTCACCAAAACCCATTAAGTGATCCTTCAGCCAAAATAATTGCTCACCCCTGTGCTACCATGATTGCTATGAGCAGCAATACAAGGAAACTTCAAGGAATGGGATCAATTATTGCAGGGGCAGGCAATTATTTCAGGTGGAGGGCCACTTACCCAGTTTTGGCAGACTGTCAAGGGCCACATGTGTAGCCCTGCCCCTTGACAGGTGCCTTCCCCCTTGTCACCATCTTGGGACCAATGTCCCAATGTCTTGGGACCAATGTCTCAGGGCCAGCATCTGTGGGGCCCAGAGCGGGGTGCAGGCTGGAAGGAGTCTGTGGAGCTGGGCTGGGCTGCAGCTCCAGGGAGATGGGGGAGCTGGCCCCTGCTGTCTGGGACCCTGTACCCCTGCCACCATGCTCTGGGCCCCACTGGAGCTGGCCCTGGGACACCGGTGTGGGCCCCATGCTCCTGTTCACTCCCTGCACCTCCAGCCCCGTGGTACAGGTGGGGGGCAGCACGCAGCCCTGACCATGTGCTCACCATCAGGGAATGAGCTGGTTCAGAGCACAGGGAAAAGTGGCCCTTCACCTGCCCCATTGCCGGTGTCTCACGCTGCAGCCCCTCGTAGCCCACCTGGGGCTACCTGGGCCTGCTCAGGACTGTGAGCAGCTGCAGCAGGGAGTGCTGGCCACGGGGCGGGCAAAGGGCTGCTTTTCCCTAGGCTCAGCTTTTCCCTGGGGTCATTTTTGACAGGAATCAAGGACAGATCAATATTAATTTTCTAAATTTTTTAGGGGCCCTGCGAGCCAGCTAGAATGGCCTTGCAGGCCATATTTTGCCCACCCCCGAGTCATTGGCTCCTCTTTTGTTTCTGATATGCGAATCATCACAAGTATTGGTGGGTTTTTCCCCATTCAAATTGGTTTATGGCTACAATGCTTGTGGCTTATTAGATGTGGTCTGCGAGGGGTGGGAGAGCAAGAGCCCACTGCAACGAGTCTCCTGAATCATCTTCAGGACCAGCTGTAGACCATGCAGCAAATAGCACAAGAAAATCTGCAAGGGGCCCAAGAGCGGCAGAAAAGGAACTACAACTGACGGATTGTGAAGAGAGACTTCATTGTAGGGGAAAAGGTACTGGTTTAATTACTGGATAAAACCAGCAAATTGTTGGCCCAGTGGCAAGGGCCATATGAGATATTATAAAAGGTGAGGCCCATCAAGCTGGGCCTTATTACCTCCAAGGAAGGAGATTCCATAGCCTCTCTAGGTAACCTGTTCCAGTGCTTCATCATCATCCTAGTGAGAAAGATTTTACTAATATCCAACCTAAACTTCCCTTGCTGCAACTTGAGATCATTGCTCCTTGTTCTGTCATCTGCCACCACCTGGAACAGTCTAGCTCCGGAACCAGTCTTTCAGTTGTTGAAGGGTTGTTATTCAATCCCCTCTCAGTCTTCTCTTCTGCAGACTAGATAAACCCAGTTCTTCAGCCTGTCCTCAGAAGTCATGTACCCCAGCCCCCTGACCATTTTTGTTGCCCACCACTGGACTTCAGCTTGTCCACATCCTTTCTGTAGTAGGGGGCCTAAAACTGGACACAGTACTCCTGATGTGGCCTCACCAGTGCAGAATAGAGGGGAATAATTACTTTCCTCGATCTTATGGCAACACTCCTACTAATGCAGCCTAGTATGCTGTTAAGACTTCTTGGCAACAAGGGCACACTGCTGACTCATGTCCATCTTGTTGTTCACTGTAACCCCCAGGTGCTTTTCTGCAGAGCTGCTGCTTAGCCAGTTGATCTTAAGACTGTAGCAGTGCATGGGATTCTTCTGTCCTAAGTGCAGGACTTTGAACTTGCCCTTGCTGAACCTCATGAGATTTCTTTTGGCTCAATCCTCCAATTTGTCTAGGTCACTCTGAATCCTAGCCCTAACCTCCAGTGTATCTACTACTCTTCCCAGCTTGGTGTCATCTGTGAACCTGCTGAGGGTGCACTCCATCCCATCTTCCAGATCATTAATGAAACTATTGAAGAAAACTGGCGCCAGGACCAAACCCTGGGGCACTCCACATACCAGCTGCAAACTAGACATTGAGCCATTGATCATTACCCACTGAGCCTGATGATACAGCCAGCTTTTTATGCACCTTACAGTCCATTCATCCAACCCATACTTCCCTAACTTGCTTGCATGAATGTTGTGGGAAACAGTATCAAAAGCTTTGCTAAAGGTTATGTTATGTCCACTGCTTTTCCCACATCCACAGAGCCAGTTATCTAATCATAGAAGGCAATCAAGTTGGTTAGGCATGACTTGCCCTTGGTGAATCCATGCTGACTGTTCCTAATCACCTTCTTCTCCTCCAAGTGCTTAGGGCCAGATTCTTTGAGGATCTGCTCCATGATTTTTCTGGGGACTGAGGTGGGGCTGACTGGTCTGTAGTTCTCTGGATCCTCCTTCTTCCCTCTTACCGATGGCCACTATATTTGCCCTTTTCCAATTGTCTGGGATCTCCCCTAAAGGTGAAAGAGTTTATGCTATTCCTGCCAGGGGTGAAACCTCAAAGGGTTGAGTATTACATAACCAGGCTGGGAAATTTGTGTTTGTCAACCCCAGTAATTCCAGGAACCCATTGATTAAAGTAGGAACAAAAAACATCACCTTGTTCTCATGGCAGCCAGTTCAATCAATTCCAGGTCAGTGCCTCGGTGTAGGTATGTGAAAATAAATGGGTGCTACATCTGTGTTAGTCACCATGCCATTGAGAAAACAGCCCAGTTTTGTTGCTCAGCTCTCTTGCTTCCTGATGTCACTTTTGTCCCTCCAGCCGAGGGTGGCAGTTTGCACTCCCCTTGAAATACCCTGCTGGGATTATTCCAGCATGTCCCATTTTAGTCCAGCACCTGCAGCTCTGCCCTTCCCCAACACAGTAGCAGTTAACTAAGGAGCTGCTAGCTATCAAAAAGCATGGTGCTTATTTGGGACATAAGCACTGCAGGGAAAACGGATGGACATTCAAAGCTTTCCCGGTATCGATCCGCATCCATGTTGGTTATGGCAGGGACAGTATGCAAGTTGTCCAGTCTTTTGTTCCAGAGTGAGTCTCTCTCTCTCTCTAAAGGCACACCTGTCACTGTGTACAGTTGGGAGCCTTTGGTTTGCCTGGCTTCCTTAAGTAAGTGCAAAGAGTTAATGGCAGTTTCTTTAAGTAAGTACAAATGATGGATGTTGAAGGGATGTTTCCAGGGGCTGGGGATTTGCATAACTACGCTGTGGAATTTAATATGGCTATTCATAGGATCTTACAAAGTTCCCTGCTAATGTCCCTATGAACCAATTAGTCTCTAAGGTGCCATCCAGCTTTACCTTCGACATTATTGTTTCAGTCATCTGTGAACATCCCACAGAGGCACTGCCTTTTTGTCACATTTCAATCTATTTGTCTTCCATGCTTCCAAAACATCACCTAGGTCACAGTGCAGTCAGTTCAGGAAGTTCCAGGTCGGTGCCTGTGTGCAATTACCGCAGCTGTACTTGTCATCAGGCCAGTGAGGCAACAAAGCCCAACTTGCTTGGGTATAAATTCTGCTTATGCCCAGAGCTGCTAGTCACTCACTGGGAAGGCAGACCGAGAGCGAACCTTTCACTATGTGGCCCCTTGTCCAACTTGTGCTCTGCTTGCTTCTCTGCTGCTGTCTCCATGGCACAGGCAAGACAATACTCCTCCAGCCTCACTGTGCCCAATGGAGGCAACTGGGGTGATTGGGGAAAAGCAGAATTTTGCTCTACTGGCTATGCCAATGGATTTTCCTTGAAGGTAATTTTTTTCCTGATCCCCTGCTATCTCCTCATTCTGCAGCAGGGACCTCTCTGAATTCTCTGCAGGTTTTAAGGGGATTCATTCTGTCCTCTCTTCTTGATCCTTCCCCAGCCATCAGCAAACAAGGTTTCTGAATATTTGATCTTGAAATTTCAGGCCTATCAGGAAGTGCTGTCAGCACAGCTACATCAGGGAAGGTCTAGTACCTGTTTTTTTCTTTTATTGTTCAACAACATGTTAACACAACTCCTAATAGATACAGTGCTGATGGCAAACAAGTATTACACACATTAAGGGACTGCATGGGAACCTGCTTTGCTCAGTTCATGTAAATCTACTGTTATTTGCCTGTGCTGCTCTGAATTTGCCTGTTGCTGCCACAGTTGAAATGTAATGCTGAGGTGTGTGTGGGTGAGAAATATGGCTAGGGCTGGCTTCTCCCTCTTCCCTGATGGGTTCTAGTCAATAATCTTTGGTTTATTGACTGGATGAGGAGGAGCTGAAAAGCACAAAGGGGAATATTTAGGAAAAGTTGCCTGATCACCTCCTGTTTTCCTAGGGCAATGATGAAAACAGTAATGCACTTCTTGACTCTATAATGTGATGTCTTTTTTTTTTATTAATTCATAGAGTTTAATCATAGGAGGCTGAGAAGGACTGTTGGTCTCAAGGAATTTTCTTGACCCTCCCTGAAACCCTGGGTCCTTTCCCACCTCTTCCAGGTTGAGCCCGCTCAAGGCTCTGGGGTAGAATGGGATGATACAGCTCTGAACGGCATCCTTCTGTACTGTACTGATGGTACAACCATTACATCTTTTTACATCTTTTCCCTCCCTCTCTCTTTCCCCACCCCACAACAAATGCTGCAGTTTGCAAGGGGACACTCCATTGACTGTTCCCCTTTGTTATGGGCCTCTTCAGTCCTCATTAGAAGGAAGAAGGGATAGGGCCAAATACAAGCGGGAGGTCTTTCCTCTCACAGCAGTATAAAGGAAGGGTCCCAGTAGCAAAGGGGGGCAGAAGGGCTCTGATGGAGGAAAAGGCAGGAGCTCTAGCTGGAGTGGAACGAGAATAGACCCAGAGAAACTGAATGTGGAGAATGAGGGAGGTCTAACCAGGCATAAGGAAGGCCAGATCAGTGCTGGGCCTGTTCAGCAAGACTCAGAAACTTCATAAGGAAGGGTATGGCCAGGGAAGAAAAGACTGGAGGACTTGTACCCAGTGAAGAAAAATCCCAGCTAAGAATGTGGAGGGACAGTAAAGTCACAAGTCACCCTGTCAACTAGATGCTCCTTTTCTCCAGTGACTTGCACACTGAGGCAAATCAAGGCATGACTGATGAGATAAAGCAGGGACACCTGGGGTGAAGTGCCAGTTAAGGTGGAGCAAGGAACACAGCTAGTGTAAAACTGGGAACAGGGGAAAGGTGTGTGCTGTTACAGTCCTGTTTATAAATGTCCAGACAAACTGAGTTACAGGAGTGGCTTGCATTTTTACTTTGGCTTCTCTAGGATGGGTAAAGTAGCCATTTCACATTAGAAATTCGTATTTTCTGTAGAGAATGTGGGTGACTGGTGAAATAATACTAATTGCAGTGTCTTTTTAAAATGGCACAAATAAAGGTAAATGTGGAAAAAGGGATTCTTTCCCACACCTTGTAGAAATCTTTGGGTGAAATGCTGGGAAGGGGACTTCAATAGACCAAGATTTCAATCTGGAGGGGTTTCCTTCTATGTGAGGGGTGCTTGGAAGAAAGATATCTTAATTGTATGTTCCATATAAAACTGTTTTCCCAAGGCCTTCAAGTTATCCACCAGCAAACCAGAGAAGACCAGGATCAATATTGCAGGTACCCAGGGAAGAAAAAATAATTAAAAAAACCCTTCACAGACCCTTCCAGGCCTTTCTGCTTATCACTGCTATGTGTCCTGGGAATTCTGGGCCCAGTGCACAGTTGAAGAGATTGACCAGTTCCCCATAGGGTTTAGCTGAGCCTGAACACATCTTAGATAGACTGTTTTCTTTTCCTGCAGGTGGGGTCAATGGAGAGTGATGCTGTGGCATCCCAGCTTGCATCTGACCACCTTCTCACTGAATGTAGAGTCACCGCAAGACCGTGCTGATGACACAGCAGCCAACAACATCAGGTTCAGATTGTCAGATGGGAGAGTGCAAGAGGGCAAAGTAGATTCTGTCTGGGGCACTTTTGGCCCCTGGAGTGATCAGTGCCACTCTGGGGCCATCTGCGGGCTCCAGACCAAGGTGGAACCACCCCAGGATCGGGGGGATGACACGGCACTCAATGATGTGAGGTTCTTCTGCTGAAGCTTGTAAACTGCCTATGGGTAGATCGTGGGCAGATCCGTCAGGCATGTTTGGTCATGCTAGCAGAGCTGACCACTTTACTTTTTCTGCTAGCTTTGGCTAAGCACCCACTGTTCAGGGCCCTCACTTCTGCTGCAGCAGAGCTAGTAGATAACACCACAATGCCACCTGGGGCTTGTTGGAAATGCAAAATGAGCAATCAAAATTAAATGAATAAACTATCGCTTAGGTCTTGGCTGTCTTCTTTCTAGGCTTCATCTTCTGGTCATCTCTTATCTTTCAGAGGTTCTGTAAAGCCTGCAGGCCTGTGCAAACAAACATGCTAGCAGATGAGGAGCCATACTCTCACCCCCTCCCAGTGGCTGCTCCACCCCTGGTAATCCTAGGCTCCAGGCAGCTTGCTCACTGCCTGTACAGCCCCCTTCAGGCTGCTTTCAGCATCTTTTATTCTCTCCCTCTGCTGGTCCACATGGTAGGCTCTTCCTTATTCACCCTACCCGTGTCCGCTCCCTTGCTGAGAGACTCACCCAGACCTGGTTTCTCAACCTTCAGAGAGTCCCTCCAGGTCTGGGAAGGGTGTGAAGAGGTACTCCTATGGTGTGGGCTGTTCTGGCTCCCCCACACCCATTATAACAGGGCCCAGCCCTGTTATACAGCTAAACACCCCCTCCCCCTGTCCCTATCCCCACCCTCCCAACACATGAACCAACACCAGTCTATGAAACACCATTACATTTTGGCTCTGCTCTTGATGAAAGAGGTGTCCATACCTTAGTGCACAAAATCTGGCTCAAGGACAGGTATCATCCTTGCATCTGCAGGGGAAAGGGGATTAGGAAAAGGAGGAATAATGGGATAAGAAGGAGAGCCCCTACAGGTGAGAGACTGACAAGGATGAGGTGATAGGGAGGACAGCTTGCCTTTCTAGGGCCAAAGGGGAGGAGGGCGTCTGTCCAAATAACATTGTGGTACTTAAATGACTTGTCAAGCAGCTGAGAAAGCAGTTGACTCTGTCTATACTGGCTTATGAAGGGGGACTTGCCCCTCTCCCAACAACTCCCAATGAACTAGAGTTGATATTGTCCTGCAGTGTGTCTCCTATTGACTCAAGACAAAGGGAAAGGGTCTGAAGCTAGTTCAATGAGGGGCTCTTCAGTGGGGCTATATGAAGTAGCTCTTTGGTAAGGAGGCTGCTACTGGCTTAGACCCATGCTAGGCAACTATTGATCAAGACCATCTCCAGGCAGCCTCTACCGTCTTAACTGTGGCTTCTGGGTCAAAGGGCTGCTCATGTAGGTCCTTTAGGTTTTAACAAGGGAGAAGTGATTCTTGGATATGGCCAACTCTAAAGAGGTCTCAGTGCCTGGCAAAGGAGGAGGTGATTCTGAGCCTTTCAGTGGTTTTGTCAGAGAGGGCCATGGCAAAGCATGTAGAATATTTGAGATGTAGGTGTTGTTACCTATATTCTGTGTGATGTCTTTTGTGTAGACCTCACCTGCAGATAGCTGTTGGTGCACATGCTTGAGAGTGAGGGGTAGGTGCCCCATATATGTATGTTCTCATCGGTGTGCATCGTGGGAGGTTTAGGAAATAGTCGTGCCTGTTTTAACTGTGCTGGGTAAAATGTTTACATGCAAATGGTGAGGTGAAACCAGTCTTCGTGTCCATTGGTCCTCCCTTCCTTCTGCTTCCAGATTTCTCCCCTGCCCAGGCCAGTTAGCCCAGGTCTGCACTCCAGATGCAGCTCACAGGAGTCCTCACTGGTCCAGAAATTTGTCTGTAGGATGACTGGCGGCAATGAGGAGCTAGAGCAATTAAAACTACTACCAGTCACCATGCTGACAAATTTGTAGACCATTGGGGAGCCCTCAGGCCAGGTGACATGGCTCTCTGGGCTGAATTCAGGCCACAGGATGCTTCTTGGTCACTCCTGATATAGGTGCAGTCCCCATATGACAGCGGGAACCCTCAGGGACTGGGTTAGAGAGAGCTCCTCTGGATTTTCCCAACAGAGTCTCTTGCTAAAGGATTGGTACCCTTCTCTAAGGGATGACTGTGGCATTCAGGGGAAAGGTCAGGGCTAGTGGCTGCACCAGCCCCATGAGCTACTAAGCTCACTTGGGGTGGAGCTAGTAGAGAACTCTGAGACATTGACTGGGAGGAACTGTTAATGGTTGGGTCAGGCTACTAACTGTAAATATTTGTTCTAAGATTGATTTTTGTCCCCTTCTCTCCCCATTAATGAGCCCTGTTATAATATCTAGTTTTTGTTGGTTCAATTTGGAACGCCCAGATAGCATTTATTTTACCAGATGGCTGAGTGGAGGCTTTAGCCAATATATAAAATTTGAACACACCCCTTACTATTTTCATTCAGTATCTGGTTTACACATGTATTTATACCTGTCTCCTAATGGGAGTGAAAATCCAAATGCACTAGAGGAAAAATGGAAATCAAATGGCTTCTAATGAAAGCAACTTTCCGAAAACCAACTAAAACATATAGTAGCAAGAACACAATCTGGGAAAGAAAGACCCATCAGCCCATCAGGCTGCATAACTCTGTAGTGCCATCTAAGCCTGATTTTCTTTGCTGATATTATTGAAAATCATCATGCTTTGCAGTTCCCTCAGAGAATTCCTTACAAATGGTTTACACATATGGGAAATTATATAAGAATAACAATGATCCAGAACCAAAACTAGTGGAACTACACCAGAGGCATAGCTAGGAACAGAAGTTTGGCTGAATGCAAACTTGTGATGGAAGGATCAAATGAGCCAAAATGGCCAAAAACCTGCTACAGATGTTAAAAAACATAAAAATAGCTTGTGGATCCTAAATCTTAGCTTCCACTGTTGCGGTGCTCAGTTAACAAAGCAAAGCATATCAAAGCAAAACCAAACCAAACCAAACCAAACCAAACCAAAACCTCAACCTCCTCCTTGCTCCCCTTGCAACTCCCCTCCCAGCAAATCAGAAAAACCCAACCGAACAAACCCCATTAATGAGGCTGAGCAACAAGCTCAGCCAGTTGCTAATATAAATAAATGTTTTTCATAGGATTTATTTTCCTGCTTGTAGCCTATGGTGTTTAAAAGCTGAATAGCAGTAGGGAGAATCCCAAAATGAAAATAAGCACAATCCTTCTGCTCCTGATCACATTAGAAGTTATTCTCTTTTAAAGTAACTGCTAACTTGGGACTCTGTTGTGCCCTGAAGGCATTGCCTTGCTCTGGGATCTGGGGACTTAAGCCACTCCAGCAAGAGCTCTGGGGGACTCGAGTCCTCAAGCTGCCACAAGGGAGCATGCCTGCTATACACTCCTATGCCAGAAGGGAGGTTGTTTCCTCTCTGACCTTTTGGAGGTGTTTAGGTCTGCTTTCACTTCCTTGTGCTCAGGAAAGTGCAAGAAAAGTATAAGTAAAGTTTGTCTGTATGTTGTGGTAGTTGTCAGAGTATTATATTAACACTTTCTCCATAGCCTGACCCTTCAGTGCAAAATCTCCTCCAGCCTCTGGAAAAGATCAACTCATATCTTAAAAAAACTGACAAAAAACCCCCCAAAACCCCCACATTAAGTTGCCTGTTGAAATGGGTGGAAAAAAAAGAATATAACGAACATTGCAGATGCTGCAATTAGAGGGAGTATATAAAAACTCAAGAGTTTTTAATTCTGGTTCAGACCATAGATCTATCAAGCCCAGTCAGTTGGATTTGGTGGCAATAGCCAATATCTCATGGTCTCTTCACTTCCAAGATGCTTGCAGTACCAGTTTGATAAAGTAATTTTTATGAATTCATCTGAGGAAAACAAAATAACCCAACCAAATCTCAGCAAATTCACAGAGCTTCAAAGTCTGTTAGCGCTTTCAAGTGCTGCCCTTTGGAGCAATTTTTGTCTTTTTTTTCGATTCCCCATTTTTGACAATGTGGCAGTTTTCCGAGCAGTGTGTGATAAATGGAGAAGTCAGAAATATAGAAGTCAAGCTTAATCAGCTTTTGTAACTCAACACACATTGTTCCAGTCATGGGCAACTGGCACCTCCTGAGTTGAGGGGGCCTTGCCCCCCCCATCAAACGTTCTGCGGCTGTGGGGGGGAGGACCACGGCCAATCCTGTAGACCGGGAGGGGGCATCCCTGCGGCCAATCCTGCTGACCCACAACTGGCAGCAGCATGCCGCTGGCAGTTCCAGGTGCGCAGCTGGCACTTCCGGGTCAGTGGGATCGGTCATGGGATGACTGCTTCTCCTGGCGCACTCCTCATCCAGCACTCTCAGGGGGGGCACCAGTGCTCTCACCTGCCCCCCCTGCCTGGGAATGCTGCTGCCACGGGGTGCACCAGTGCTTTCAGGGGGAGCACCATGGTGCTTTTTCTTGTCCTATTCTTTAAAGAGATCAGGCACCCATGCAAATATGGATTGGCTAATTTGGGTCTTATTTCTTGGAGGAATTTATTAGGGCTGTGCAAAGCTTTGGATCATGATTCAGATTTGGTGATGATTTGGATGATTTGGAGACCAAATCTATGAATCTGAATCAAATTGCTAGAAGCTTTAGACTTTCCAAATCGATTCAGAACTTCTGAATCGATTCAGAAAAGATTTGGAGATTCGGCCATAGGGTATAATGGGGAATCAATGAAATATCTATAACTTTGTTGTCTTTTGGCTGATTCAGATGAAACTTGCAGGAGTGGTAGCCTCTGCTGAGAACATGACATGTGCTGAGTTTCAAAGTGATAAATGTAGGGGTTTCTGGAAACCTGCACCACAAAGCTCTGAAAGCAAAACTCATATCACGTGTATGTGTTAAGCCTCAGTGCAGGGGTGGTAGCTCTTACTAAGGCCACAAACGCTGCCAAGTTTCAAGGAGATAGGTTTGGGGTTTGGTGGAAACTGCACCCCAAATTCTTGAAAGCAAAACTCATGTCATGTGTATGTGTTATGCCACAGTTTGGTCAAAGCTGCAGGGATGGCAGCCCCTGTAGAGGCCAAA